CACCTCCCAAGGTTGCATGAGGACAAAATTACTCCAGAGTGTCCAGTGGTACCTGGCCATGTAATAAATGGTCAGTAAACATCCCTGGAAGTTATTAAGTTCCCACTAGTAAGAGCCAATGTTACTGAGCCCTACTCTGTGCCAGCACAGGCCAGACCCTTCCCCTAAGTTCTCACCAAGTTCCCTGGATCATGCTCATTTTGTAGATGGGGAGACAGAGGCCCAGGGAGGAAAGCCAGGAGAGACTGGTACACAGAATTCTGCCGGGCTGTGGAAAATCCCAGAAGCAACTTGCCATGGGCTCCAGGTGCCCTTGGGTCTCTGGAGGCAAAGTCTGATGTCCTTTCACTGCGTGTGCTGGTTCTTTCTCACAAAGTGTCCCCATGGACTGATGACACAGGTGATGGGGAGACACTCTGGGGTACAGAATTGGCCTGGGACTCAGCAAGCACGGCCATGCGCATCAAAGACTGTGTGCCTGGGCTGAGGAGCCCTCTGGGAAACAGCATGTCCATGTGGAGGAAATGAAGGAGAGTGAAAGGGTGGAGCAGAGGGAGGGGCAGCTCAAGGCCAGCAGAGCTCAGGAAGGAACCTGGAAACCCAGAACACCAGGAAAAATGGCAGGGCGTTATTTGGGGAGTCTCTGTTTCTGGAGATTAGCATGCGAGTCTGCAAGGACTAGCTGGTGAAGAGCCCTGGTCAGTGTGGGCAGGCACTGGGCAGCTGGCCCAGGGAGGAATGAGCAATTGCAGAGGGTGAAGTGGCCTCTTCTTCAAGAGCCAGGACTGACTCTTCTTCTCCTGTCCTTGGACATCAAAACTCCAGGCTCCGGGCCTTTGGACTCCAGGACTTACACCAGTTTCCTCGCTCCCTTTCTCAGGACTGTGGCCTGGAACTGGAGCCAGGAATTACTCCTTCTGCTTCCCTGGTTCTGAAGTCTTTAGACTTGGACATGACTATACCACCAACTTGCAGATGGCCTACTGGGGACTTCTGTGAGCCAACTCCCCTAATAAATCCCCCTCGGGCATCTGAATACCCCTCTCCTGTGCTGCTTCTCTGGAGACCCTGACTGATGCGATGTGGTGGAGGAAAGCCCTGGAGATGTCAGCCACGAGAAGGCCAGTGGATGGAGTGCTCCCAGCTAACACAGCCAGGCTGACCTGGCACCCAGCCCAGTGAGGCCCTGTTCATGACACAGCGAGGACCTAAGGATGCAGCGGAAGCAGGCTGGAGGCAGAAGCGCAGTCGAGGGGGACCGACACAGCATGAAGTGAACCTGTAGGCTCTGGGCGCCTGCCTGCCTCACCATCAGCCACCTCCGTGTCCCCTTTGTCCCCTTTCATTGTTTCCACAGATATACTGTCAGGGCCTGCCCTGTGCCAGACAGGCTGCTAGGTGTCACAAAGGACCTTTGCCCTCTCTGTCTGCCCTTAGAGATAGAGAGATAAATGGTCATGTTCCCTCTGGAGACAGATAAGAAGGATGAGACAGTCAGTGGACGGTCACTGTCTATGGCCCCACCAAACTGGCACCCCTGCATTAGCACCCTGGCCTCCCCACCATCAAGCTTCCTCCCCTCCCACCTCCCATGCAGAAGCAACAGCCAACTCTGCCTTGGGAGTTTGGCTGTAGCCCCCCTCTGCACTCAAGAGGGACAGGGTGTCTCAATCTTCAGTGCCATCACCCATCGAGTTTCCCAAGGCAGAGTCCGCACCCTGGTTTCAGGCCTTACCTGCTCCTGCAGTGCCCCCTGGTGGGAAAGGAGCTGACCTGCAGACACCACAAGGAGGGTCCTGCAACCAGTCCTGTATTTATACAGGCTTCCTGTATTTAAGCTCTCCCTCCTGCAGCAGGTGCAGGACCACTACCTCACAAACCACAAACAGCCCCACCCCTTGGATGATGAAGGTCCTGAAGGAGGTGCTCTCATTCTCCATTAACGTGACCAATGATTTAGGTCACTTTGGAAAATGTTTTTCGCACAATAGTTTTTAAATTTCTTGGCACATAAAAGAAGTCTTCTTAGAAGACTTAGAAGCTAGGCATCCAAGTGCCGTACCAACAGTTTCTGGTGCAGTTAAGAATAAGGCCTCTTATTTCGTTCTTGGAGCCCGAGTACGCCTGCAGTCTTTAACCAGCGCAGCCCCAAAACTGTGGTTTGGACTAACACTGGCATCTGACCTTCTCGCCTACTAGCCTGTCTTCCTCTTGGGAGAAGCAGCACATCTTGTTTTTCTTTTGAGTCCTTGGCCCTCCTATAGAGCTTGCTTTCCTGGGAAACATCTGCTTGGTTGATTCTTTGTTTGCCTTTGTATCCTTCTGGCATTCCTTCCCTCAGCCAGTCTCTGGCCACTTATGCAGCAGCTGCATGTGCCAGGCCTGGTGCTGGCGGCTGAGGATGCAGCCACACCTGGCATGACCCAGGGGTCACGCCAATTCTCACGGCTGGTGGCAGAGGAGGCAGGCTAGGGCAATAATGCCACAGCCACGAATCTCAATTGTAGTCAGTGCTATGACAGGGACATACCAGGAGTCTTCCAGGGTCAAGTGAGACCAGAGAGGAGTGAGGCACAGGAGAGAGGTCAGCTTGGGACGGGAGTGGGTTCTGCAGGGGCCAGCAGGTCACAGAATAGAATTGGAGTTTTAATTTAACGTTAGGAGAAGCTAGTGAAGGCTTCATGCAGGCCCCAGTGCTGGCTCAGGAGCGAGAAGCCTCCTGGCTGCTGTGCACCATGTGCAGAGCAAGGGAGGCAGGAGAGGATCCACAAGACTGCTGAGCCGCCTGGGATGTGCAGGGCACTGGGATGGCAGGGTGGCAAGGGGGGTGGGCAGCAGGGTGCACTGGGACACATTTTGGGGTGAGTTGAGTGTTACCTCTGTTAACAGATCACTGTAAATCAGAGTCCTCAGAAGACAGTGCCATGGGTGAGTTCATGAGAAGCTTCAGGTCCAGAGAGTGTGTGACTTCACCTGTTTGTGACTTGGTCTCATGTGGCCTGCACTTCCTCTCTGGCATCCTGAGCCTGTCTTTCACTTTTCTCATTTTCAGCAGCAACAAAAAACCCTTAGGGACTGATACTTTCTTCTTGTCATCAGATGCCTGTTTAGCCAAGCAAGAATAAAACTTTAAATTTCAGATTACCAGTAGTTTTTCTCAGTATGTCTCCTGGGCTTCAATACCCGGTTTTGTAAGTGAACTTTTATTGGCACACAGCCATGACATTGGCTCACATACCTGTGGCTGTTGCGGGTCAGGGAGTAACTGTGCGACCATAAGGCCAGCAATGCTAAAACACTTCCCCTGTGAACTTTGTTGACCCCTGCGCCAGGGCAGGTAGACCTGGTTTCTACACTCTGAACACAGTGCAAGACTCCAATTCCTCAGTGTCCTAGCTTGGGGGAAAGCCAGAGTGCTCACCAGCTCATTAGTACCCAGTGTTTCCTGTGTGCACAAACCAACTCCTGGATGCCAAAGACTGCCCTTGATGGAAGGGATGTCCTTTGCCCTCCAGAAACTTTTAGAGGTTATTGTGCTCTTGCAAGCAAAGAAATTGACCCCAGCATGATTGGTGGGGTACCTGAGCGATTAGACCTTATCCCCACTTGTTGATACTTCTATAAAGCAGGGGAGCTCCAGACCCCAGCAGCAGTTGTCCACGGGGTCACCTAGGAAGACAACAGGGCCTTCCCCTGCAGCCCCATCTTGTATTTGACTTAGGAATAGGTAGAACAGGTTTTCCAGGATCCAGAAGTCCTCTTGACTCTCCAGCTGGTTGGAGTTGGGAGAGCGGGGAGCCAGGAAGAGGCCTGATGGCAGTGGTGCCAAGGGCAGGGTGCACCTGGCTCTACCAATCTCCATTCTTGAGACTAATGACCTTCATCTAACATCTATACAAACCAGCTTCAAATCCCACTCCATCCAGAAAGGCCCTGAATGAATCTCTACTTAGAAATCCTGTAAACACCTGTTAACTATTTTGGAAACTAAATGACTTATGGAAAATTTGATGTCATCTTGCCCTTAGCTGCCAGGGACCTTCTATGTCATACTCCATCAACTACAAAGATCTGTACTAACAAAATGACACAAAAACCACCTAAGGGGAATGCTTATTTGAGGTCTCTAAAGGGCCATCTATAAGACATTAAAATATAGATTGAACCCTATTGTATCTGCAAGGGACTCTTAAGCATTCCCTGTTGACAGGGTAAAAGAACAAAATCCTAATACCATCCATTCACACCTATGCTTTAACTCTCCATTGCAAGGGGAAAGAAAAAACAGTGCTGTGAAATAGCAGCTAAGCTTAGTTCTTCCCACTGATTTCAGTGCGGAACAGGACGGGCGGCTCTTTATCCCACTGTTAAAATTGCAAGCAACATGCTTATTTTCAAATAAAAAGGGAAACATGAAATCTTTTTCAGAAGAAAGCCTTTCCAATGACACTTAAAATTTTCCTTAAGTTATACACCGGGCTGGGGATACAGCTGTTGGTAGAGTGCTTGCCTCCCATGCACAAAGGCCCTGGGTTCAATCCCCAGCACCATAAAGAAACAAACAAAAAAAGTTATACATCAAACACCCGCAACTATATACAGATTTGTTTGTCATGGATAAACCAAGACTGTACTAGGTGTGGCGGCACTGGCCTGTAACTTAGGAGGCAGAAGCAGGAGGATTTCAAGTTCAAGGACAGCCAAGGCAACTTACTGAGGCCTTATACTGACAATCATAAAGGGAGTGTGGCTCAGTCCTACAGTGCAAAGCAATGCAGGGCATCCTGGGTTCAATGCCCAGCACCGTAACAAAACCATATAATTTACTAAGATGTCATACTTTTGAAATGCGACTTCAGAATTAGTTGCAAAAAACCCAATATATTTTCTCAGAAATTGTCTACTTTCCTGTGGTTTATAATCTATGCTATGGAAACTTGAATGTAATGCTAATGTGCCACCTACCCTAAAAGCAGGCCACACAGAAAACTGAGACATTATTAGGATTAATTAATAACAAAGCTTTACTGGCTCAGTAGTTTTTCTTATGATCATATAAATATATAAATCTTGAAAAGATAATACTGTTAGTTGAGTAGTAAAATCCGTAAAAATAACAGTTTTGCCACAGTGCACAGATTAAGTTCATTCATTTTGCTTCCCCATCCCCCACCAAGCAGCTAGATGAGAACTGGAAGACACAGGAAAACTGCACTTCTACGTGGAATAATGAATATACTGAGAATTTGTTTGCAGAAAATAAACTTCAAAACTCCATGCTCCACATCCTAAACGCCTATGAGTAGGCCCTTTAATTAACTTAATACTCGGGATAAGTGTCTCGCTTGGGGTCCTCCTGCGCAGGGGCCGCGGGACTCAGAGCTGGGGTCTGTCGGGGCAGCAGGGGAAGTGGTCTTCAGTGCGGAACAGGACAGGCGGCTCGTAGGCGGCGCGCGGCGGCCTCGCAGGGGCCGGCTTGGTGAAGAAGGAGGGCACACTGATGGTATGCAGGAGCTTCTGGAAGGCCCGGGGGAAGGCCCCCAGCTCGGCTTCGGCCCTGGTGACCTGCTCCTCCATCCTGGCCACGCTGCTGCCGATCATCCGCACGAAGGCCTCGAGCTTGTCGATCTTGCTGTAGATGCGCCGCATCTCCGTAGCCTTCGCGTAGATGCGAGGCACGCCCTCGCTGACCACGTGGGATGAGTCTCCGCGGATCATGTCCAGCATGCCCACGAACTCGTCCACTCTGGTGAGCAGGTCCTCGAGGCTGGCGTCCAGGGCCTCCACCTCGGGCCGCGTCCCGGCCCCGGGCAGCAGGCAGGCAGCGTAGCCCGCGGCGGCGCGGCGCAGGAGCGGCAGGTCGCGGCCGGGAGCGCCGTCCTCCGGGCCCTCGTCCTCCCACGGCCCCGAGGCGCTGCTGTGGCTCTGGGACACGTTACCGCTGTCCCCGCTCCAGGCGGTGCCCTGCGGCTCGGCCTCCTCCTCCCGCGAGGGCCCTCCACCCTCGGGGGGAACCTCCATGGCCCGCTGCCGGCGCCCGCGCGCCGCGCTCCGGGACCCGCTCGCCCGCAAGCGCGCCCCGCTTCCGGCGCCAGCGCGCCGCGTCACGCCCACGTACGTCCGCGCCCCCGCACCACACCTCCGGCGTGCCCGCGCGAATTCCTCTTTCTTCTTCCGCTACCCACGCACGTAACTGTTTCCGTTCCCCAGGCGCGCGCATCTACCGGCTTCCTGCCTTCGGACGGGTGCGCGCACGCACGCTGTGGCTCACGTTCAGAACCCCAATCAACCGCAAACGTAAAGACGGTGTGAGAACCCAGGGAAGGGGTGGGCTCGGTGCGTGCGCGATGCCTTTGTATACCCCTCCCACCCCGCAGCCTCCCTCCGATTCTGGGCTCCCTCCTGCCCCTCCTTTCCTCTTGCAGCAAAAAGTAAAATGAGAGAGATGAGCAAAAGAAAGGTCTGTTTGCAAGATGGGTGCTCATGACGACTTGGAATGACTGGAAGTTCTTCAGGCCACAAATGGTTAGGAAATGGTGCATAAGCAGAGATCATATCCAGGGTACTGCAAGACCTAAAGATGACTCTGGTATTGATGGGTAACAGGCAGACCTGAGTGGTGGGACACGAGGTTAAGGGGATAGTTCTATAAAGTGGGCCAACTGTCCTGACCCTACATGCTTTCTTTTAAAAAGCAATTTGCTTATAGCCCTGCCTGGCTTAAGTCAATGGGATATGTTACATTCCTCAGAAATCAACCTGTTATCTGCAGGAGAAGTGCAGGCCCCAAAGTTTTCTTCCTGCCAACACAAACTACACTGGGGGCGGAGGACTTCTGTAGCCTTTACACAGACCAAGAACTCAAGGATATAGGATAATTAAAAGCAAAGCCTCCTCCCACTAAAATCTGTGACAAGTTTGAATTAGAACCTGTCAGCATGGGCCAAAGGGACCCAGAGTGGCCTTGGATCTTTAGGATGTCATTATATTGGTAAAATCGCCCCTCCATCCGGTAAGATGGGGTCCAATAGGGACTTGAAAGTCTGATGCAGTCCACTTGTCAATAAAACTGGATGGTGGTGTGGGGCATTCTGTCCCTTTCCTCTCTGAAAGATCCCACTCTATCCCTTGAGAGTTGTTCCCCTATTCCCTTTTCTTATCCCTGCTAATAAACACTGCCTGCTACTTTGGAGACATGTCTGAAATCTTCCCAGTGTGATCCTGAGAAGTGATGAGAGGTCTCTTAGGCTCCACAGACAGTCTTGCTCCATAAAGTGATTGCATGAATTCTTAAAAAGCCCAGAAACACTAAAGTCAGTGCCTCCTAGTATTGTCAGACTTGTGCTCTTTAAAGAGGTGAAGGATGTGCCTCATAGGATCTATCAAACAATAGCTTCTCTAGAAAGCTTAAGAACTTGCTCTTCAACACTTTGGGCAGAAGTGGCCTCCTGAGCCACTGGGTTTTACAGGTGTGCACCACTGTGCCCACCTTCAAAAATAGTTTTAAAGGAGGTCAGAAGAAACTTTTTTTTTTTTTAAAGAGAGAGAGGGAGAGGGAGAGAGACAGAGATTGCTTTATCTTGAAGGGATTTGCAAGTGGGGCTTTTGTCTAATGGAATGAACCCCAATGAAATCCACAGTCAATCCACAAAGTTTTAAAGATAATTATAGTAACACAAATGCTGCAGCATTAATGGAAAGGGAGAGAGATGGCACAAAATGAAAGGCTTTTGGACCTCTCAAACTTCTACAAAAGCAGATGAGGAATGGCTTGTGGGCAAACACATGCTACCTTTCACAAAGAAAGAAGAAAGACCCAGAGTGCCGAATTAAGAGCCCAAATGGTGGAACTGAGGGGCATGGGGGTCTTAGTTATAAACCTTGAGACAGCACTGCAGAATTCCTGTGGACCCCTGACTTCTTTGTGCCTCCTATTTCCCCCATTTTTGAGGAGGAATGTCTATAGTGGTTCTCCCACACCTGCGCACAACATTTCAAAGGTCTACAGATCAAGAAAAAATCTAGGAGTTGGACCTAAGGAACTATATGCCCAGGGAGCTTCATTCACACCTGGCCTAGTTTGGAAGACAAAATTCTGCACTTGAAGCTGATGCTACAGTAGGATAGTGATATACAAAACTATGAGGGTTTTTTAAAATTAACTTTTGAGGACTGTGGATGGGGGCAAGTGTGATCAGCCTTCCAGAGGATCCCCAGTGACCTCCATCCCCTGTATTCATGCTCCTGTGTATTCCTTCCATGGACTGTGGACTGTGCATAGTGATTTGCTCATAATTAGTAGAAAGGGTAGAAGCAATGACTTGTGACTTGGAGATTATATTACCATTTGGTACTCTTAATGCTCAGGGGAAGAGGATAGATTACAGGCTACACCACTCACTGCTCCACAAATATTTGGAGTCAAATTGGTAGGAAAAATAGGCTTTATTCAAAACCAATTGTTTGGTTTTTTTGTTTTTGTTTAGTTTTGGTACCAGGAATTGAACTCAGGGGCACTCAAACACTGAGCCACATCCCCAGCCCTATTTGGTATTTTATTTAGAAACAGGGTCTCACCAAGTTGCTTACTGCCTCGCCATTGCTGAGACTGGCTTTGAACTCTAGATCCACCTGCCTCGGCCTCCTGAGCCACTGGGTTTTACAGGTGTGCACCACTGTGCCCACCTTCAAAAATAGTTTTAAAGGAGGTCAGAAGAAACTTTTTTTTTTTTAAAGAGAGAGAGGGAGAGGGAGAGAGAGAGAGAGAGAGAGAGAGTTTTTTTAATTTTTATTTTTCAGTTCTCGGCGGACACAACATCTTTGTTTGTATGTGCTGCTAAGGATCGAACCCGGGCAGTGCGCATGCCAGGCGAGCACGCTACCACTTGAGCCACATCCCCAGCCCCAGAAGAAACTTTTTCATTTCAAATTTCCATCTTCAGAGGCTCTCAGGGTAGGTAATACTTTTAGAAGATGTGGCAAAATGGGACATAAAGTAGGAAATACGCATTTGCAAATTTAGTTAGTCTGTGCCAGACTGGCTGGGGCAGGGGTTGTTTCCACCCATAGCTTCCTTGGCATCCCCCAGGCCTGTTCCCTTCATGAGGAAGTAGTCCTCAGGTTCAATGGGACTCTGAATTTCTGTTTCAGTTCATAAAAAGCAGCAGGACATCCCTTTCTCTCTAATCACTTGCTCTGGGGAAAACCTGCTGCCTACTCATGAGCAACTGCGATCCCATGGAGAAGCCCACATAGCAAGGAGCTGAAGACATCATGCAAATGCTAGTGAAAACCAGCCTCACTAGACATCTTGGACATGGCCTCTCCAACACTGGCTGAGCTCAGAGATCACAGTGCCCCCCTGGACGATCCTGGGCTGAAATCACATGAAACCAAATGAGACTATGCTGTTGTCTGAATATTTGTGTCCCCTGAAATTCATGTTGAAATCCCAATCCCCACATTAAGAGATTATGCCTTAGGGAAGCAGTTAGGTCATTGGGGCAGAACCCTCCTGAGTATGATGAATGCCCTTATTAAAGAGGCCAAGAGATGCCTCTGCTCCTTTTACCATATGAGGACACAGCAAGAAGCCACCATATAGGAAGCAGAAAATGGGCCTTCACTAGACACTGATTCTGTTGGTGCTATGATCTTGGAATTCTGAGCCTTTTGAACTGTGAGACATAAATTTCTGTTATTTATTTTTGTGGTGCTGGGGCTCAAACCCAGGGTCTTATGCATGGTAGGCAGGTGCTATACCACTGATATACAGCCCCAGCACTGTTTCTGTTATTTATAAACTACTCACTTTATGGTATTTTATTAAAACAGACTAAGACAATAATGAACTTTAGGACTGTTTTTTTTTTTTCCATAGCTCTGAAGAATGTTGTTGGTATTTTGATGGGGAGCGCACTGAATCTGTATATTACTTTTGGTAGTGTGGCCATTTTAACATTAATTCTGCCTATCCATGAACATGAGAGATCTTTCCATCTTGTTTCTTCTTCAATTTCCTTCTTCAATGTTCTATAGTTTTCATTAAAGTCAACCTCACAGTAAGTGGGGGAAAACTGAAACCATTTCCTTTAAAACCTGGAACAAGAACAGGATGTCAACACTCACCACTATTATTTAATATAGTGCTAGAAATTCTAGCTAGAGCAATTAGGCAAGAAAAGGAAATAAAAAAAGACAAAAATAGGATAGGAAGAAGTCAAACTATCACTATTAGCAGATTATATAATCCTACACTTAGAAGATTAAACACACACACACACACACCAAGACTGTCAGAGCTAATAAATTCAGCAAAGGTAGCAGGTTACAAAATCAACATACAAAAAATGAATAGCTTTCCTATTCTACAACAATGAATATGCTAAGAAAGAAATCAGGAAAATAGTCCTATTCACAATAGCCTCAAAAGCAAAATGAAACAAAATCTAGGAATAAATTTAACAAAGAGATTAATGGAGTTTTTTGATGAACACCTGCGAGTGCTATGGTGTTTGCCTAACGCATACACATCACCTCATGGGTACCTCTTGCCACTGAGATTCTTGGGGTGGGACCACAGGTCTTTAGCAGATGAGAAAACCAATCTCTGGTCTGTGGCATTTGTGCAAGCAAGCAAGATGCCTCCCCAGCCCAAATTACTGCTAGTGTGGCACTGAGAGAACATGCCTAGAATTAGACTGCATCCATTTCACAACCACATGCGTTGGTGCTTAACGAATGAATGTTAAAGCATCAATGACTGAACCCCACTGTTTTTCAGGCCTGGTGGGCAGTGGGGACATAAAGGTGACTAAGACCAGAACTTGCCCTCAAGGAGTTTTTTTTGGTACTTGTAAGTACAGGAGCTTCCAGTTCAGAAGAGGTGCTTCTATTTTAGGGAAGAACCTTTTCTCTCCAAAGCATTCCCAAAGTCCCTACTCAATGCCAGGCCTCCAGCAAGGGCAGAGGACAGAACCAAACCAGAAGGGGCCCTTCACTTTGGTGAATTGGTAACTGACCAGCACAATCCCGGGCGCCAGGAACCAGAGTGAGCAGTGGGGAGGCCAGGGAGAAGGGCTGTTGGCATCCTGGGTTTTGAGTCCAGGGTTGTTCCGAGGTGGGCTTGTGCAATAGCAGGGACTGTGGACAAAACTGCATGTCACTCAAGCACGGTTTTTAGCTAGTTTCCCACCTACTTCATACGTTTGTGAGGGTTAATGAATCAATTAAAATTAACCTAAGCCTGCGTGGGCGGGCGGACGGAGAGAGGGGGAGGAGGGGGAAAAGTAAAAGCCTGCAAGGGACTGCTGCAGGATGGAGCCCCAACCTTCTTTCACAGAAGACAGAATGGAAAAGGGGCAGGGCGCGATGCGGCGCGCGGGCGCGGCTCCTTTACGTGCGCGTGCCTAGGGAGCGTGACCGTAAAGGAGCCCGGCTCTGTCGTGAAAGGGCCGCAAACGTGGCCGGGCGGGAGTGGTGCTGGTTGGCGGCCACACGTCCATTTTGTTCCCGCTCAGTGCGTGCGCGGCGCTTCCTGTCGCGGCTGTCCCGAGGCCGAAGGCCTACGGTTAAGAGCAGGGAGCGACCGGAAGCTGCCTGGCGGCGCCGCAGCCCAAGCGCAAGATGCGGCCCCTGGACGTGGTGGAGCTGGCCGAGCCCGAGGAGGTGGAGGTGCTGGAGCCCGAGGAGGACTTCGAGCAGTTCCTGCTGCCGGTCATCAACGAGATGCGCGAGGACATCGCGGCGCTGACCCGCGAGCGCGGCCGGGCGCACGCGCGCAGCCGCGGCAAGCTGTGGGAGATGGACAATATGCTCATCCAGATCAAGACGCAGGTGGAGGCCTCGGAGGAGAGCGCGCTGAACCACCTGCAGGGCGCGGACGGCGGCGCGGCGCCCCGGGCGGCCCCGCGCTGCGAGAAGGCGGAGGAGAAGGCCAAGGAGCTGGCCAAGATGGCAGAGATGCTGGTGGCGCTGGTGCGGCGGATAGAGAAGGGCGAGTCGGCGTGACGGCGGTGAGCGGGCGGGCGGGAGTCGGGCTTCGGGGACCCGGCGGGCCCGAGGACGCGTGCCGTCGTGTTGGCGCCGCTGCGCGCCCTCTAGCGCCTCGTGCCCTGGACGTTAGAGATGACAGACGCTCGGGGTTCTGAGTAACACGAAGGCTGACTCTTTCTCACTCCTCTTCCTCTGTGCTGCGGCTCCAGCCCACGTGCTGGGCCCGTGCTCCCCCGCTGGGCCGGCCTCGAACTTGCGATCCTCCTGCCTCTACAGGCCGGGCGGGGGGGCATAAAAGCCAGTTCTGGTAGCGTCACCGCAGGTGGATCTGCCCAGGCACTAAGGGAGTTGGCGGGAACGGGAAAGGGAGGGGTAGAGCCAGAGGGTGCTGGGGCTACCAGACCTTCCCAGATTTCCCTAGAAGGCAGGTGAGTCCGAGGACCCTGTGAGGGCGGTGACAATCCCTGTGGGTTTTAACCTTGGGATGTGGGAAACAGTGTCTTGATAGTAAGTCTCTCCCGTTTGTGCTTTAGATTCATAGCTGATGGACTCTGCTCAACTGGCAAGGATGGACGGACCCCCGAGGGAACTGAACCAGCTCGACGTTTTCTGCTTTGTTTTTGTATCTCTTCTATCCCCTTGCAACAGTCTTTTTTATGGTAACATGTATTTAGTTCTGGAAAGAACTTCTGTTGGAGAAATATTCTCCTAGGAGAAATGGGGCTTAAATCAAAAGCTGTTTCAGTGGTCATTACTTAATTCTTGTTACTTTGCTGTGTTTTGGAAATGGTGGGCATGACCTGTTTTATTTTTGCTGTTGTCTTGTGACCTGATTGTTTTCTGGAGCTTGTGAAGACTTGGGGTCAGGATCTTCTGGTATTGGAGATCCTGGGGAAGGCACTGCACTACCTGGTTGCCGATGATGAAGGATGTATGGTTAAGACCGCTACAGGAAGCCAGGCAGATCCAGAAGATGGTAGAGGTGGAAGATGACTTTGCATATAGTTTGGAACTTCAGTTCTTTTGTGAGACAACGGAGGAGGTTGTATTTTGTGTACACACTATGTTTGATGTATAGTGCCTAACCTGCCGGGCAAATTTATTTAGACAACCTCGCTAACACCATGTGATAACAGTTGAAGAAGGAGCTGTGTGGTACATGTCAGTGTTTGAATACCCTCCCATGTTGCAGGGACTTCAGCAAAGAGCATCAGGGACAATCTACAAGGACTGGAGGAAGGAAGAGGTCTCTTCCAGTCATCAGGGTAGTAGACCCAACAGATGTTTGAGGTCAGAAACCATACGTGCACTAAGTGTTTGATTGCCTTGCAAAACAAAGACCCCCTTAAATATATATATTTTTTGGTTCAAATGACCAAAACTCCTGTTAATAAAAGAATCATAATCTTTTTTGGTTTTTACGTGGATGGTCTTTTTTGAGTGTCCTCACCCTCTAGTGGAGGGAACCGTTGGTGGGTCTGAGGCTTCCCGTAAGCCTGTACTGTGAGGGAGGATGGTTCCTGGAAGGCGCCATGGGGCAGGGCAGAACACATAGTTCTTAAGTTCAGGCCCTCCTCTGGCCTGAGCCCCTGCCTTTTGGCAGCTGCTGAGTGTTGACCAGGGACCCTGATGGGCCATATACCCTGTCCAGGGTACTAGGAATACAAGGGTAAGGGTTGGGCAAAGGTGTGGGGCAGAAAGTGAAACACAAGTGACAACGTAGTATGCCTGGCAGAGCCCTGGGAGCCCTCATGGAGAACCTGGGAGAGTGTCAGCAAGTGACTGGATTGCCTCGAATGCCAAGTCCAACTGGAAGAACGGAGCAGGGGCAAAACCTCAGGGCGCTGGCTCTGGGGAGACTGCTGCTGAGCTGGAACCCTTGGCGCCTGGAGTGAGGTGGTGGGAAGTGGGGTGAGAGGCTAGTGGGCCTGAGAGGCCTGCGCCACAGAGGTGGTGACCTGCCGAGCCTACGCTCTGAGGGCTCTTCACCCTGTAGTGTGGGCACATTCAGACCTGCAAACAGGCATTCTGCAGTTTCCAGAGCTGCCAATCGCAATTTCACAAAAATAAGTGTAAAATAATAACAAGCTTAGATATATGATTTGGATTAAGGTGTAAAGTAGGCGTTTTTAAAATCAAGTATCCAGGCTGGGGATATAGCTCAGAGGTCAAGCACTTGGCTTAGCAAGTTCAAGGTCCTGAGTTCCACCCCCAGTATCGCAATAATAACAGCCCCACCTAGGAGTAGCAGTGTAATTTAATAAGTTACAAGTGGATGTGGTAAAAAAAAATGTAAGTAAAATCAAGTGCCCAAGCATGGAGCAAAATCACACTTGGTGAAGCTATTCCTGGCTCTGGCCACCTTCCCCACTCTTCACTGGCAGTGAGGACTGTTGGGAGCCATGAGACTGATGAGCAAAGCAGTGGTGACTACATGAGCTTGTGGGGTGAGCAGGCGAAGGCAGAGGAGTGGGGCTGGTGCAGAGGTGCAGGGGCAATTCAATGCCCAACAGGTCAATGCAGAAAAGACCAGCTCAGCCTTTGTGGGGCCAAGACTTTTGGTGTGCATCCACCAAAGCCCTGTACCAGTTCACCCCAAGGTGACCTCACACTGATGCACATCACAGAGGCCCAGGGTCCTCTTACTGCAGGACCTGGCTGAGGGAGCTTCTCAGGGGTGTCATAGACCTTGGTTCACTATTCACTGATTTAAAAATATGCTCTCTGGAAGCGGTGGCTCAGTGGGAAAGCATGTGCTTGACCTGTTTGAGGCCCTGCTTTGATCCCCAGCACCAAAACAAGAAACATGCTTTGGGGGCTAAAAAATAAAACTGAATATATAAACATGAATGCATGTGTGAGTCCATAGTATGTGTGTGCTGTGTACACTTATGAGTTGCGTACAGTTCCCCCTTGATTAATCAACCATAGGGATGTCTTAGGGTTGTGTTTTGCTTCTTAGTACTCCAGGGTACTAAATAAGTCTCATATCATTTTGACCCTTGGCTCTTAGGAGTATTGCAGTGACAGGCCAGTTGTCTTCTGACATACTTATGATAATTATGTAGCCTAGAGACACATTGCTTGTGTTTCCTACTTATAATCTCCTATAGCCAATTATATGTCAGTGGTCTGTAAGCAGCAGTCAGCTAGGAGCTTGGATTTCCCCAGTTGCTCAGAGCACTTGCCCTCACACATGCAGGGCAAGTGCTCTGCCACTGGGGCACCACCCCAGCCTGAAGTGTGCTGCGCTTTGGACCCCTTAGGGCAGAGACTTTGCTGAATTCCTAACACTGGGACCAGAGTCTGCCTGGCTTGTCTTGCCTGCTAGTCACGCCCCAACTCCCCTTCCTCCGAAATCTGAAGTTCTGTGCTGTCTGCGAAAAGGCTCTAAACCAGGGCTGGGCTGTAGCCTAGCGCACGTGAGGCACTGCATCTGATCCTCAGCACCACAAAAAAATAAAGGTATTGTGTCCACCTACAACTAAAAAAAATATATTAAAAAACAACACCAAAAAAAGGCTCTACAGCCTTCTCTTGCCCTGGCTGAGTCTGGGAGGCTTTTTTGTCGTGACTTATTGCAGGGTTTTGTTTCTTCTGACCACACTGTGAATGCCTGATGTCCTGGTGGCTGTCAAGGCTCTCAAGCTAAGCTCACCGTTCCAGAGGCCTTCCCAAGCCACCTCTGCAGAGCACACTGCCATCCCCATCACTCACTCTCCCTTTATTTTTTTCAATATTTGAAGTGTGGTTATTTGTTTTTCTTAATTTTTTTTTAGTTGTAGATGGACACAATACTTTTATTTATTTATGTTCCTATGGTGCTGAGGCTAGAGCCAGGGCCTCACACATGCAGGGCAAGTGCTCTGCCACTGGGGCACCACCCCAGCCTGAAGTGTGCTGTGCTTTGGACCCCTTAGGGCAGAGACTTTGCTGAATTCTTAACACTGGGACCAGAGTCTGCCTGGCGCATGGTTGGCGCTGACTGCTGAGCGAATGCGTGCCAGTTAGGTACATACGTGCCAGTTAGGTACGTAAAGCACGCTGAGTGGTGTCCGCTGCCTCCGCAGACAGCTCAGCTGCAGGAAGCTTCAGTGTTACTCCCTACACTGCCCTTCTCCTCGGCACTCCCCTCCCCTACCCGGCCATCACCAAAGCATGTTGATTCCACCCTGACTCATCTGCCTCCCTCCAGCTATTCCAAGCCACAGCTGTTAGTGACAGTCTCCAAACTGGCCTCACAGCTCTCATTTTACTTCAGTCCTATCCTTGACAGATGAGCTAGAGAACTGTGCAGCCCTTCTCTGCTTGAAACAAATTTTTTGCAGTCCTGGGGACTGAACCCAGGGGCGCTCTATCACTGAGCTATACCCCAGCCCTTTTTATTTTTTATTTTGAGACAGGGTCTCTTGCTAAGTTACTGTAGTTAAGTTACCCAGGTGGCCTCAGACTTGTGCTCCTCCTGCCTCAGTGTGCAGAGTTGCTGGGTACGGGCATGTGCCACTGTACCTGGCCTTGAAACACTTAAAAATTCCTTTTGTCTCAGATGTTTTCTTTACCAATACTTAGCTCCTACTGTATACCAAGCACTGGTCTGTACTGAGAGACGGAGCACAGGCAGTCCACACGGTTTGCTTTCTGGAACTTCCTCCTAGTGCTGGAGAGGCATGGCACTGAGGACAGGCCACAGGGGCTGAGGATGCTCACTCAGTCACTCAGCACGTGGACTCCACGTGTCCTCAAGCACTTCTGTCCCTCCCAGAGCTGTGTCCTGGTTTTCCTGTCACTGCCTAAAATTGGCCTCTTCTGGGGTCCCCTCAGCGTCCTCCTCTGCCTGTCCTGCCTTCCTCTCTGCTCACTCACCCTCCTCCACCTCCTGTGAACTCCCTCCAACACCTGCTACAGCCACGCCACCTGTCTCAACCCGGCCTGGGCTGTCTCTCTGTAACCCTGGGGCTACTCAGCTTCCTGGGCGAAGGTGCAGAGAAAGTGGGTCCAGCATACATTTGGGGCTTGCATTTTGCCAGGTGGTTGCAATTGAGGAAATGTGTGTAGTTGGTTCTCGTCATCTGTAATAGTTATTCCAAGTCACCATGAACGCTGCGTTAGCAAATGCCGAGTCACTGTCCCTGGGGAAACAGGAGTGGGCGCTACCAGCCTCCAGCCGCACACCTACGACTGGCCATTCTGTATCCGTGCCTTGTGCGTGTTTCTGTTTAAAGGCACCTCGTTTACCAGGTGCTACTGAGTTAGTACTGCACTCGAGGCTCACAGCACATCTGCTCTTGCCTCCTCTGCGGAGCTCATCTGCCATGCTTTCTCCATAAGGTGGGTCGTAGCCTCCTGTGCTTAGGAACAGCAGCCAGCACCTGAGCAGCGACAGAGCCGGGAGACATTTTAAACAAAAATGCACAAAAGCACAAAGAGGCAAAGACCAAAACTCAAACCAAGGCCCTGAGTAGACCCTGGCCCAGGTGCGCTCACAGCACAGGAGTTGGGCGGGAAGGCAGAGCAGGCTATTGGGCCTCAGTGGGGAGTGTGTGTGTCACATGACGCAGCTCTGCTGCTTGCACACGTCTGCAAGTGACCAGGGGTTCACCATGAGCACCCACTTGGGTTACAATAAACTATAAGAGGTAGGTGAACTTACAAACAGATTCATGGATGGCGAGGCTAGGCTGTGCAACATCCTCACAGTGACATTGGTGTTCTGGTGCCCAGCCCAGGGCCCAGAGCCCAAGGCCCGCAGGGTCAGCCCTCTGAACAGGCTGGGGAAGGTGTCCCCAGTGTGCACAGTCCAGCGTGAGGAGGACTCTTGTAGGGCAGGGCAGGGGACGGGAGTCAGCCCCTGATGAGTGGGGAAGGAGTCCCCGGGAGTATTCCAGGCAGTCAGCCCAAGTGAGGTGGGGAGAGGATCCACAGGGGACCACTCAGGGCAGCCTTTGAGGTGACTCTCCTGAGAGGCGAGGAGGGCGACTTTGCAGGGAGCAGTGTGGGGCTCGGACCGAGCAGGGCGAAGGGACACTAAGGTGCCCTGTGGCGCTGAAGGTGAGGTCCGCATCTGCGGTATCAGATGTACACAGGATAGATGCAGATGGGGGGTATGCATCTGTATGAACTTCCAGGCATACCTGCAAATATTCCCTGGGTCTGTCCATTGAGAGGGCTGGGAGCAGGGACACCCCAGCAGTGACATACTCACTTACCTCTCAGGTCCTAGTTTCTAGGTAGCACTAAAAGCAGCCAAGGCTGCGTGGAGGAATGGCCAACTTCAGAGACAGGCAAGGAAAGATCAAGATGTATCCAGACATCTTGATGTGACAGCAAGCAAGGGCCTACAGAGAATGTTGGGGACATGTTGGAAGGACAGAAGCCAGCCTAAGTAGGCTCCACCGGTCATGTCAGGGACAATTTGAGAATCACTATAGTGATCATGGCAGATTACAACCCACTGAGTAACGTGGGAAACCGTGATTCACATACACCTGAGCACATGTGTTAATTAAATGTGCTCCGAGGATTCACCTTGTGTCACAGTCTGAAGAAACCACAGCAGCAGCAAGAGCAACTGGTGGAGAAGCCCTCGCCCAACGGCAGGAAGACCCCTCACACACAGGGAGGGCTGCAGGACTGGGTTGAGTCCTAGAAACAGACCCGATAACAACCTCACACCTGCAACCTGCCCTGAGTCACTTTGGTCCTCTCCTGAAGACGGTGGCACAAAGCCATGAGCTCGGGTGACGGGAGCACTTACTCACGGTGACTCTCATCCGTACTTGTACTCATTTCTTCTCTGTCACTGGATTTATGCTCTTCATAGCAAAAAATACTCTGATACCATTAAAGGTGTTCCTTGGCCAGGCCCCAGCGGTGCAGCCCGCAACCCAGAGCCCAGCAGCTTGAGGCAGGAGGATGCTAAGCTCAGGACTGGCCTGGGCAACTTAGGGAGACACAGTCTCAAAATAAAAAACACAAAGGGCTAGAAGAGTAGCTCAGTGGACGAGCACCCCTGGGTTCAATTCCCATCACCTCAAAACAACCAAGAAAACTGTGCTACTTGAAAACATGGTATTTGGAGTGACGGGGAGCCTGGCTCACTGAGCACCCCAGGAAAGGCTGAGGAATGGCATGACTTAACAGGTGGCTGGCTGGCTGGATGCACGCTCACTACAGGGTGGCCCTCGCTGTGCCCACAGATTCTCTAGGGTGGGCACTGGGCCTCGGCCATGGGCTGGTTCAGAGGGCACCCCAGGGAGTGGACCGGGAACGGACTGTTACCAACCGACCTGTGCTTTTCATCTCTGTCCGTCTACCAGGCTGGCAGTGAGACATTAAATGTGGCATTACATAGTGAATGTTCCAGAAAATCCTGGTCCAGTTTGAGAACTGGCTGCCAATGTGGGATGGAGCCAAAAGGCAGAAAAGCCAGACAGATCCAGGATCACACAGGGGCAATTTATTGGGGACTTATGGACAGAAGTGTGTCTTGGGTGGCCGCAGGATGGAGACCCCACACCATGAGGTGGAGAAAGGGTTTAAGTGTAAGAGGGACAGAGGTGGCCATGGTCTAGCTGCCTGGCCTTTCTCAGAAACTATGCACATGTCCTGTGTCGGCTAAAAAATCTCAGCGTCAGCGGCCAGCACACTGTGCTCAACCGACCATCTGAACAACTTTGTTTATGCCTCAGGGTTGGGGTGTGTGCCAGGTTACAACCAGATGGCTGTTGGTACGTCAGGCTGATACCAGTGGGAATCGGTGTTTGTGGGGGAGGAGTCTGGGGTCTAAAGGAGAGCACCACTTTGAGAGCAGGATCATTCACCAGCATTTATTAATTAGGGGACTTTGGCTCAGCCCAAGGAAGTAATTGCCAACAGAGGCTGGGAGCCAGGGACTCCTCCCAGGTCCTTCCGGTGCAGGGCATCACTTGGATGCTGTCTGTGCAAAGTACTTGTGGCAGGCAGACGTGAGTGCGGCTACAAACACGATGAACTCACTGAAGTCCACCTCGGCATCTCCGTTGGCATCGAGGTCCTTGAGCAGCCTGCCCACAGCATCCTTGTCCCTTCCGCTCTAGAGGAGAGAGGCCCAGAGTCAGTGATGCAGGTGCTGAGCAGGGCCTCGGCCTCAGCCAGGGCCACGGGGATGGGGGCCACCTGCATGTGTGCCACACATGCTGTCACAAGGCTCCGTGCCAGGCCCAGCTGTGTGGAACAGACGCTGGGTCCCTGGAAAGGACACACAGGCTCTGAGTGTCGTGAGCTGCCCTGGGCTGTATGACAGGACGAGCTGACCTGTCATGTTTTAGGTCAAGCGGGGATTGCATCGTACCCCCTGGGAGGACACTGTATTGTCAGTTCTTCAAGGGGAACAACTGGATTTACGGTGCGTTTTTAAATGGCGATCACCCCCAGGAAATGAATTCCCTCGGTGCTCGGTCGCCTCATGCCAGCACTGAGCCTGCTTTACACAGACCCTCAGTTCTCACAAGCCCGGGCAGGAACAAGTGCCACTGGAGCCACAGATGAAGACCGTGAGGCCCAGAGGGCCCCCGGGACTTGCCCAGGGTCACACAGAGAAGGTCTGAGACCCAGGTGTGGAGGGAGCACAGAAGCCCTGCTCTTTGTCTGCTGGTCCTGAGCATTTGTGGCTCACGACCCATGGCCCCAGGTCATTGAGAGGGCCAAGCTGCCTTGACTCATGTGACAGGGCAGAGGTGGTGTCCTCCCCAAGGGACCAAGCTCCACCAGGTGCAGGTCTGCACAGCAGCAGCAGGGGGCGCTCAAGCCAGCCAGGAACCAGAACTCTGTGTGTCCAAGAAACTCTGTGTGTCCAACTCTGTGTGTCCTATGTCCTCTGGCTGCGGCACAGCTGTGCCTGGAGGTGGTTGGGACAACACAGCAAAAGTCAGGGGATTCGATGGCAAAGGAGCGCCCACATGTCCACCCTGGCATAGCTTGCAGCCATTCCTAGGGACGTTCACCAAGTTTGTAGCCAACAGTCACCTAGTACTCACTCTAATTCTTGCATGAGAAGCTCTGACTGAGCCAGGCCCTGGGCTGGGTATCAAAGAAACAGGACCACAAGGCCAGCACGGTCCCTTCCCTCAGATGGACATTGTTCTCCAACTTTCTCACCTCCAGGACCATTTGGAGGGAGGGCTGGCAAGGCACAGAGCCAGGCTTGTCCAAGGGCCAGGGCCCTGCTTTTCCAAGTTCCCTCCCTGGTTCTGACCTAACCCAGGTGGAGAATCCCTGGCTTAGGCACTAGTTCTCAAAGTGTGTTCCCTGGGCACCTGCCCCTCCCCACCTTGTGAGATCAAAAGCCCCACAAACTAAAATCTCAAACTTTGATGATAAAACAACCCACACGCCACACACAAGTTCCCAGCCTGTGGGGGTGGGCACTTTTAGTGACCATCGGAGTCTGAGGATTTACATGGTCACGTTCAGTCCAAGAAGACAGGAAGCTGCACAGGATCAGGATCCGCTCACAGCAGTGTTTGTGGGGTAGATAGGAGGGGGGGCTCCACCTCCCTTCCGTATTCACTCCCGCCTCAAACACACATTATAGTAGAGGAAGACAGGTGAAGCTTATTTTAAAAATACATTTGACTTGGGGCTGGGGCTGTAGCTCAGTGGTGGAGGGCTCACCTGGCACATGGGAGGCACTCAGCACCACATAAAAATGAGTAAACTAAAAGCATTGTGTCCACTCACAACTAAAAAAAAAGATCCATTTCACTCACATCTAGAAAGTAGAGACCTGGGTACCAGGAGCTTGGTGTGTCCAGTCATGCTTTGACTGGACAGTTTCGCTTCCCTTTCAACCTGCTATAGCAGCAAAGACCCCTCAGAGAGCAGAATGGCAGAGTGGTGGGCGCAGGGAGCGGGAGAGGGGCCCTGTTTAGACCCATCAGAAGCTGCCCAGGCGCTGGTCCCGGGGCCCTGGGGGCTTCCTGGGAGCTCCAGGCCCCATGGCTCCTGCCTGATGCAGCGATGGGTTTTCTGTCTTACTCCTGTGGGTCCTACCAGGTAACAAGGGACCTGGGCCCAGGAGGAAGGCTGGTGGGCAAGAGGAGGAGGAGGAGGGGGAGGAGCAGGGATGTCCGTGGCCAGCAGCCTTGGAGAGGGAGAGCTGAGGGGCCCGCAAACAACCTCAGGAACTGCCCTGCCTTCCATGCTCGCCCCCACCCCTGCCCAGGAGTGCCACCCTCCCCCCAGGCCCCACAGGGAAAGAATCCTGATCACAACACTGTAGGGACTTAGCTCCACGTCTCAAGGATCCGCCTGGGCACGCACTCCCCGCCCAGATGCCCAGTGTCCCCGGCAGGGACTTCGGGTCATTCCTTGCCTGCATCTGGGTCTGTTTGGACCTGCCCGGCTGGCTCAGTCGGTCGTTCCTGTCCCTTCTGCCTGCCATGCCCACCACCTTTCCCTGTGCCACCCTTGGACTTGGCCGCACCTGCAGGAAGCCGGGGAGCTCCTTCTCCATGAGCTGCTTCAGCTCCCCCTTGGTCAGGGTCTGCCGGTGGCCGTCACCGCCTGAGTACCGGGCGAAGACGTCGATGATGAGGCCCATGGCTGTCTCCAGCTCTGTCATGGTGCTGGCTGTGGACCCTCCTTCCTTCTGAGACTGGCCTGCTGGGGAAATGTCCCCTGGAGGCCTCATGGTGCTTTAAGGGCTGGCCTCCTATTGACACAGAGGGTGGGACAGTCAGCAAATCCTGCCCTTCCCGTTTCGTCACCCAGTCCAGTGAAATGCGTTGCTGAGACCCTTTCTGCACCCAGCAGGGTCGTCCCCTTTCACCCTCCCTGGGGGACAGGAGGGGTCTCTGGGGCACATGAGGCCTGGCTTTGTTGAGTAGTGGGTGAGCACTGGGTGTAGGTGAGCATCATCCCCTTTTCAGAACTCAGGGGAGCTGCTCCCCAATCCCTCTGTGGCCCGTTCCTGCCACAGTGGGCGTGCTGGGAGGCTTTTCCACAGGATGTTGAGGGAGCAGCCTGCAGGGATTACAGGATGGGGGTCTAGGTTCAAGTCCTGCTCCAGTTTCCCTCTTCCAATCAGCCCCCACCCTGTTGTAGACGGGGACATGGGGACACTCCTGCACCAGGTGCTGGGAAGTTGCTGAGGCACAGCACACAGGGTGTGGCTGGAAGTGGGAGCAGCTGGGCTTCTAACAGCTGATTTTGGACATAGGGCTGCATCCACAAGGGAGGCTCAGCACTTGGTGACTGTGTGAGGAGCAGGGAAAGTCTCTTGCACTCACCCCTGAGCTGGGCTGGTCTCTCTTAGGACATGATTTCAGGGAACAGGCCACCATCCCTGCCAAGTCCCCACCAGCACCTTAGCAGCGTGTCTGGGGAGAGCTGAGGCTGTCACCTCCATGGAAGGAGAAAGGGTCATTAGGAGGCGGCTGGTCCTGGAGCTTGCAAGGCTGCAAACCCAGATCTGTGAAGTGGCCTGAAACTAATGCGGAGGCAGTTTCACTGGGAGCAGAGCGACCTGCAAATCAGAGACCCCAGAAGATCAGCAGCCGCGCACAGCAGGATCTGGCTTCCCAACAAGGAGGGTTCTGGCTCTCAGGGGGACACAGCAGGCCTCTGAGCCCAGCTGCTGGTCACAGGCTGGGTAAGGCCACTGGAATGTCCAGGTCAGGAGACAAACTGGTCGGTCTAGTATTTCTCAAACCCTGCTAGATTCCGGAAGTTGATCCCTCTGGCGATTTAGTCCCAGACACCAAGGCTGTGGGGGCAGCTCCCCCACCCCAGAAACACTGTAAGGCTCAGGGGTTTTTGCTCTTTTGACCATCTGCAGCCATTCAAGTTTTTATGTTATCAGGACCACCTGGGCTGCCCTGGCTTGAGTCACTCACCTATGACCTCAAGGACAAGCCCCCTCCAGTGCAGGGCTGCTCCTTGGAGCCCCTCCTTAGGACAGGGCGCTGTATTCCAAGCCAGGGTTCTCATGGCCCTCTGGCAGAGAGCCTGCCAAAGAAAAAATCATCCTGACATTTTTAAGCCGGTCAGTGACTTGACTTTGAGTGCTGCTATGAGGTCCTGAGGACTGGATTGGGGGGTGCCTGGCTGGCCGAGGCCCTGGCACAGGGGAGCCACTTCAGGCCTTCACAAATCTGTGTTTCTTTTGTCTTTGCTAAAAAAAAGGTCTGCTTTTCAGAAAATTTAATTATGAACACATGTTCTTTTCCAAAGATTTTTTTATTTCATGCGTATTGCAAAAGGCACAGTGGGTGAGGCGTGATGGTGCATGCCTGTAATGCCAGAGGCTCAGGAGGCTGAGGCAGGAGGATTGTGAGCTCAGCCTCAGAAACTTAGTGAGACCCTATATCTAAATAAAATACACAACAGGCTGGGGTGTAGCTCAGTGGTTAAACACTCCTGGTTTCAATCCCGGTACCAAAAAAAAAAAAAAAAAAAAGGCACAGTAGCCTATTCAAGGACTTCTCATGGTACAGATCTTTGGAGGGATTTTGAAAAGGCGTCAAATCATGATAAAGTGAAGGCAACAGAAAAGGAGGCCTGGAGAGAAATACAGCCGCCCACTGTGCCCATGGGTTCTTTTCTATTCAAGATGTAACCAGAATCTCATTGATCTGAGAGCTAGGTTTTTCCTAAAGAGATTGTGAATTACATTATGCATATTGCCTTCTCTCCGTCCCTGACCTGGCTGAGGTCCTTTCTCTTCCCTCCCTCCAGCCCTGGGCACCTGGAGTCACTGGCCAGGGTCTCCCTGGCAGCAGCCAGATGCTGTGGGGTCCTGGGGAGCATGAAGCAGACCAGGGGCTGCAGCACTGGGGCAGGTGGGTGGTTTTCTTGGCACTTGCAGCACAAAGAGCTGGGGCAGAGGGCTCCTGCTGGGCGCGGGATGGAGGCTGGATCAAGGCTGAGTCGGGAAACCTCTGGCCCTCAGGAGGAAAGCCCCAGTTTGAGCTGCCCCATAGCCACTTGCTAGCTGGAGTCCCACACAGGGCAGAGGGACTGTGGTCAGGAGGTGATGAAACAGCACCTGTGTGTGTTGGCAGGGTTGCCAGCCAATCCCCAGAGCTCTGGGCACCCTCTGCCCACCGGGATGCAGGGCTCTCCCATGTCCGGTGTCAAGAGAGCAGATGAAGAACTTGAAGGGCAGCTTCCTACATATTGACAGAACCTGAGTCAAAGGGGGCCCTGACTGATGGACAAAGGCGTGGCCAGGAATGAGGAAGGGGTGGAGCTTCAGCCCCTGCCAAGGGCCAAGATGCCATCCATTACCCTACTGCTGAGACCACCCAGCATCAGGGATGGGCAGGCTGGAAATGTCTCCAGCAAATCCGGCCCTGGGAAGAACAGGGAGGTTTGAGGAAACGGTAAGGTGTGAGGTGAGACGGATGAGATCTGGCCTTCCTGGCCTGTTCTGAGTGTGACCTATAGTGGCAAGGGCTTGAGGAAGTGACCCTCTTCTGTCCTTTGTGTCTGAGTCAGATGAGGCAGACATCTATGCTCAGTGGACACAAACTGAGGGCCCTGGTGTATGACCCCTGGTCCAGCCCAGAGTCCAGTGAGCAGAGACCCAGTCCTGCCCTGGGCTGGGGGATGCACATCAAGCCATGGAGGTCCCCAGCAGATGGGGCAGCAAAGGGAGGTGTCTGAGGAGGGGGAGTCAGAGAGGCATGGAGGAAGGTGGGCCCAGCTGGCCCAGGACCAGCGCCTGGAGAGCAGAGTGGCTTGTGGAAAGGGAGAGAGGCTGGAGGACAGGAAGGACAGCACAGGAACAGAGAGGCACAGAGACCTGGCACTTTGGGATGGGCTTGGAGTCCAGAAGAAGAGAGACCAGGAACAGCCCTGTAGACTGCGTGTCAGAGCTCCATGGTGACCTCACGGAGGAGCCCATGGGTCCAGAGATTACAGGTGGTGCTTCTGGGCAAGAGCAAGGGTCTGCAGGGTCTTCAGCTGGGGGGACCCATGGCTGGATTTGTCCTTTGGGGCCCACTCAGCGCTGGCGTGAGACATGAATGAGGAGATGAGGCTGGGGGCAGAGAGGCCAGTGAGAGGCTGTGGAGTAGGGAGCCCTGCAGCCATCACTGGTTCAGAGTTCCTGCACCCACAGCCCAAAGCACCTCTGGAAACTGGTGGAGGCCTCAGCAGGGAGTGGGGAAGTGAAGGGAGAAGAGAGAGCCCTCATGCTCTGTGAGGAAGGAAGACAGCCAGCTCCATGGCTCCCGCCCACACGGGTCCTGGCTCAAACCAGTTTTATCCTTGATAATGTCTCAGACAAATATTTGATGAGTGAGGCAGGTAAAGGTTGAGAAGATGAGTTTCTCAGGTCCACCCCGAATGCCTGGGGTCATCCACATAGCGGTGAGTCAGGGGCCGTCTCCCAGTCCCTTTGCAGCTAGTTCAGTTCTAGTCAAACGATATTTCACTGAGGGCTGCAGGAGACTGGCCTTGATGGATACAAAAAGGGAGCCACAGCCCTTCTGCCTTCCCACTTCCTGTGACCTGGAGTGACACTGGAGAAGTAGCAGCTGTGTGGGTGGGTGACTATGACAGATTCTTACTGCTTGTACCAAGGGCGTTCCAAATTAAGTGTTGTCTTAGGGGCTGCTGTCTGAACACAACAGAAATTATTCTCTCATAGCTCTGGAGGCCCAAAGTCTCTTCATGGGGTCTCTTCATGGGGTCCTTCATGGGGTCTCTTCATGGGGTCTGGCAGGGGGGATCAGCTCCTGGGCCCTCCCCGAGATTGTGGTGGTGACTGGCAAGCTGGGCCCTCCTTGCCACGCGGCTGCCTCCTTCCTGGTGTCTGCCTTGGTCACGTGGTCATCTTCCTTCTGTGTCTTTTTAGAAAGACACCAGTCTTACTGGATTAGGAGCCCAGCCTCGAGGTCCAACACGACCTCATCTGAACTCATTACATCTGGAACGACCCCATTTCCAAACAAGGGAACATCACCAGTGCCCAAAAACAAGATCTCACCTTCTAGGAATGTGGATTTCTAACTTGAAAATCAGAGGTCCAGCTCCCCTGGAGAGAGGTCCAACCCCTGCTGGAGCTGGGCAGCCACACTCCTGCTGCTCCCCAGGCTTGTGACCCGGCCTTCCTGGGGCATTTGGGTTCTCCCAGCTACTTTCTGCTTCTGGGTTTAGTGAAGCAAATATGTGCGGTATATTCTTCTGCTGGGTGCTCCGGGGAACTAGTGAGTATCAAATGTGCCCATCTATGAAGGGGACCAACCAGCAAGCTCGGGTGCAGAGAAAGAAGGGGAGCGAGGAGCAGCAAGGCATGGCCTAGGGGTGCTGGTGAGCACAGCAGGAAGACCCAGGGCCTGGGCTGGATGACCCGCTCTTGGAAAGCCAGGGGGGAGAAGCTGGCCTGGGCCTGGGGTCAACATGGCGCCACACAGCCAGCTTCCTGGAATTGAGTCTGGGAGGTGCAGAAGTTCTGGAAGCCAAGGGGAGACCCGCCTCCAGGGACCCTTTGCCCATCTCTCGCCCACAAAACGCCCCCAGCACTGTCTGACAGGGAAGTCGTGCAGAGCACTAACAAGGTGCAGACACACTGCCTTAGCCGCAGTCACGGTGGCGCACACCACCTGCCAGCACCCG